CTTGTCAGAAGTAAGGTCAGGCCAAACTGTTATGGTCATTAAAGATGAAAGCCACACATCAGGGAAGCATCATTCTGTAAAGAACAAGGTGAGAATGGTACCAGCTGAAGTGCTAACCTCATTCAAAGTTGGGTAGCTGTACTGCCTTCTCGTGCTTCTATATTCTTTAACAAAAGACAGTTCTGCAACAACTTTTGGAGCACTTCTTACCGTAAAATTGGTTATTACCTGGGGTTTTAGGGTTGTTGATCTCTTTCCTTTTCCCCTGTGACCGTTACATCCCCATGACACACTAGTAAGTGACCACAGTACTGCCATGTCCGTACTGCCATGCTGTCACAAAGTGAAACAGCAGGGAAGCATTCATGTAAGTGACCACCTTAAACACAGCTATAGGGGGTGGAAATTCTTCAGTGAAATACAAAGACTGGCATGAAACCCAGGTTTATGTTCCATTCCTTTCTCTCAAGAGTAGTTGTGACTTTTTGATTGAGGCGCTTTATTTTGGCACCTGAAACACATTTTTTAAATGGAGCCATGGGAGCTCTATGATGCTTGCCGCTGTTGAAAACTGTGTACAACTACTAAGAAAATAAAACCTTTCAAGGCCATTATGCCTTGACCTCAAATCTTAGGAGGCAGCCAATGAATGCATTTTCTGACAAATGTTTCATGATTGCTATGATCGGTCTTATAAAAGCCTATCTTTAGTAAAAAAAAATCACGTGGTGGGGACACAGCAGCACCATCTAAAAGCTAAGACTAGTGACTGCATATGCCCTGTGCTCTCAGATCCAAGTTTGACAAACTGAGAACTTAAAAGTTTCATTTTTACCCAAGTTTCTACCTGGAAGTTAAGAGACTACACCAATTTGTGCTGCTCAAGTTTCCCCTGGAAGAGTCTCATTTATAGCCAATACTGCATAAAGTGAAATCAGCTTACCAGCAGGCCATATTCTACGACAGAACAGACTATTTAAGTCCGATCAGGCTCTCAAAGTTTGCTCCCACCAAATCGATTTTTCTGATAGGAACACTGCACTGATACAGCCATTCATATCACAAGACACAGGTGGCCATGCTCTGTTTAAGTGCTGTTTAAGTGCTTATAGCTGATTTAAATACCCTGCAAATTTAAAGTAAGCCCCCAGCAGTATTCATGATTGATGTATTCATGATTGATGTTGTCAAAAGCCATTTTTCTAACATAGCCAAATGAAGTAACGGGCTCCTCCCAGCTCAGCCCAGGTAAGAGTGGCTCACGCTCTCTCCCAAAGGAACCACCCACCGCCTCTTCCCACCGCCCAGACACCCACAGACCTTTTGCTGCTCTTCCATGCTAAAAGCCATGGCATCTCTTCCCCAGTATTTCACATTTTTCTCCCACTGCTGTATTCTCGATCTTTTCATTTTACCACTTGTTGACTGCGCTTCATCTTCTCTTTGTGCATCTTAATAAGAAAGCCAAGAGTTCGTTAGTCCCCTAGTCAAGTGTAACAGTCCACAGCTATTTGTGTGTAATCTGTTTTTCCACTTTATTCCACAGTGGAGAATGCTTTCGACAAGCCATAACTGAATTGTGTCAGATGTCACTGAATAAAGGGTAAAATTTGGCAAATACTGAAGTTACCTTTCTAGAAGGCCTTCATTTCTTATTGTGCCAACCCCCACCCCCCAAAACTAAAAGGGAAATTACTTTTTGTATGTTTGAAAAGGGAAAGGCAGAAAACCATGACAGTATTTGAGCTCCAGTTATCTCTGCTGCCTCTGAGGTACACCGGCACTGATGTGTACTATGCATAATACGATTGTGAGTAGTCGGACAAACACTGTCTTAATTGCCTTCATCAGAGATCATGCAGATTTCTGTGGTTACTCCACAGTCTAACAAAAATGGTCATTTTCTTGTCCTCAGCTTGCTCACCTGCTTTTTTCCTAGGGCTGCAAGTTAGAAAGCCCGACACTTGTTTGCTACCTCATTTCCATCGGAGCTGCTTGTGAAAGAGGAGGCAGGACATAGTAGAGGAATTAAATTACAATTACCTGAGAAAAAAGTGTAAAAAGGGAAAATGTTGCAGCCTTGTCCTGCACTTGAGCAGCAGTCACCTTAGGACATCAGAAGTATCTATGAGGTACCTGAATGGACACGAAAGCTTTCCAAATACCCTTGGGTGGATGCTCTTCCCCACATGTGCAAGCCTTGCCCCCTGCCTCCGCAGGCTTATCTCCCCCTTTCTGTTTTTCTCTTCTTGCCCCCTCTCCCTCCACGTGAGCTTACCAAATCCCTGCCACCAGCCAGAACTGATTAGGACAGAACAAAAAGCACTCTGCAGCACTCTGGACTAGCATTCATCTGCTACAAAGCAGATGATATTTCTGAATAAGTATCACTTATTAACTAGCCTCGGGTTTTTTTCCTGCCTTTTTGGTGCACTTTTAGGCTAGTTGAAAAGAAACTCCGGGAGATCAGCAAAGGGTTATGCAGAACTTAGTGCAGATTTTACACACATCATGAGGCCATGCTGCAATGCAGTTCACAGGGACTCGCCCATCTGCTGAGATTGAGCGAAGTTCAGTTTTCAAGGATCCCTTTGCTCCTTCTGTGATTACCTAGCCCACGTTCTCCTCAACCATTCAGTTTAACCACATATTTTAATTCCATCCCCGAGTAAGTGACATTCTTGGCTTTCCATTTCAATTTCCACAGGGCAAATAAAACTGATGGAAAGCGTTTTGACAAGGGTATTGTTATTGCATCCAGTAGGCTGAGATGACTCCAAATCTGGGTATTACATTTAATGTTTCTGGGACAGATGCTGTTAGGTCTTTTCACAGGAACACAGTATCATCTGCATACATTAGTAACTTCTGTGCCTCAAGTTGCATACGCTTTATATCCTCTAAGTTTTCAGAGACATTGCTGACAATTTAATACTATGTTTTTCATCACAAAGCAGAGGACAGGATAACCGTGGAAGCTCATCCATCAAAGGAGCAGAGTACCTTATGCATTTATTTCCTTCAGCAAAAGGTGCAGCAGCAAGAAAAACTGCCCAACCTGTCCTCCTCTTGGTCAGAGAAGCCTGAAGAACCAAAGCTACTGCTCACAATCAGCATCTGCTTTTAGGCAACTCAGATTTTCTTCAGTTCAGGTGCTGTGCTTCTGATCTTTGCTTTCTTACTGCTCTAGACACTATGGACAGGACCTTCCCAGCAGCCACAATGCTCAGAGTGGAGACAAACTTCGAGTGCTCCATGGCCATGGGTGTACTGACAGAGAACTGGTGTGAACGCAGAGTCGAGGCTCATCAGCGTAACAAGGTGGGCAGAGAATAAAGGCAGTGAAAAGTCAACTGCATTCTCCAGAGACAAAAATGCAGTTTAGTCACAGCTGTAACAAGTATTTCTGAGCTCACAGCCACAGAGTCACTGCAGAATTTCACATAGAACTACTACATTTCCAGCGTGGTTATGTGGAGCTCCTTACAGAAGACCTCAGGCAATCAACTTTATTCCTGCCTTCGTTAATGAGGTGCAGAATCACCAATTTGGTAGTTTTTCCAGAATTTACCAGTTGGTATTCTTTCGTATTCAGGAAAAAAAAAAAAAATCTGCATTAATAAGTCATGCTTGTGATCGCAAAACCTTCATAATTACATATAGACACAGAAATGGACACACAAAAAGCATGAAATATATAAATGTACAGTCTCACACACAGACATTTCCACACAAGCAATTCATTCTTCTACCAGAAAAAAAACCCACCTCTGTTCTTTAACACACCATTCCTTAAAAACAATTATTACCACCTTCAACCAGGTAAAGGACCCCTCTTTGCTCGGAGACAGATGAAAGGGCTCCATTCTACCACAAAACAAGCATTTGACCTAACACGGACACCGTTACACAACCCACTCACAGGCATAATTCCAGGACTGTTGGATGAGCTTTTACAACTGATGCACAGGCAGTACATAGGAAGACACAGCGTGCAGGTGCATATACATGAACATATGCACGTATGTCTACACATTTCTCCGTATCACTGTGTAGCAGAATTTGAGGGAACCTAAAAACAACTTCAGTACATGTTCTCACTGGGACCCTCTTTCCTTACAGACCACAGATGTGACATCACAAATTCACGTAACATTTCTTAACTCGGTGGATAAGCCACTTCTCCAGATTGTCTGATTTGCTCATCATGACTGTAATTATGTAACAAAACTCCCTGAATACTGTGCCATTATTGCGCTTATTAATCATTCTGCCTCTGTTTCAAATATGTGCTCTAGAGACTGCTGGATATACTGCATTATGCCACAAACTGAGTACCAAAGCTAAACTAAATCTACTGTTTTGAGGATATTTCAATGTAATTGACTCTTTCAATTAATATTTTTGTAAGCTCAAAAATATATAAAAAAAGACAAAGCTGGTGTTGATATAGCTGCTGACCTTTGCAACTCTAAACAAAAGACAGTTTTTAACCAGTAAACAACTTGGCAAATAATGAAACCTGTTTTGCCAGTGCTCGGAACAATCAGCTCTTAGGATGACAGACTTTGCAGACAAATCAGTTCTTACAGGAAAACAGATTTCTAGATGTGTTTGAGAGAGAATGCAGGATTTCCATGACTTCAGAAACAGGCACCATTCAGACCACTTATTTTAAAATACACTGTATTAAAACCAGATTAGTAATTAAAAAACAAAAGCAAAACAAAAAACAGTGCAAAAACAAACACACAGGCCCCTGTTCTAGCATATAAATCTATTTAAGAGCATCACCTTGAAAATAATACAAAGCTCCTTTGACTTCATAAGGACTTCACAGAGGTCCACAAGTCCACATTAGAAGACCCAATCTGTACTCTGAGCTAAATTAAGTGTCTAGCTTGCTTTTTATTAGGCAGCAGCTGATACAAAACTGCAATGCCCTAAATTCAGTTGCCTCGGGCATGTTCATATACATGTACTATAGTAGAAATAAACATTAATTTATTACATATCCCTTATAAAAACTAACAGGCATCAGACGGATTACATTTTTTTTAATTTAGCTATGTACATTGGACCCCATGCTCTCCCTTTCTCTGGGAGAACCAGAAGTTCATGCTGTTGCATACCCCTGAGAAAAGTGAATTCCTGAGAAACAGCTTTGGCCATTTCAGTTATGTCTACAGGCATAACGTTACTGCAGGAGCTTAGAATGAGATTTATTACATCGCTGTTTTCTGCCTTTGAGAGAGTGCATGTAGAATAAACCAAGGATCCACCAGGACGCAGTGCTTTAATAGCAGACCTGCAAATAATGAAAAAAAAATATTCAACATCAGAAGTCACATATTGGGGGTGGAGGAACATATAAAGACTTATAAATCTAGAGTTACAAACAGGTATAAATAAATATGAGAAAAAATAACATCATGAAAACAACAGTATATAATCGACAGTTCAGGAAACCACCTGCAACACATTTTTGCTTTCTTATTTACTAATGTATTCTCGGTTAACTGAAGTTATTTTTTATACAACAGAGACAAGTAGAAAGCAGCACCTATTCAGAGTTGCAGAATATACTTCAAATATTTGTATGAGCAGCACAACTGTGAAAATGCTGCAACTGTGCATACAAAATGGGTTATACCACATCAAAAGCGCTAGTTAGATACTTAGCTAGCTGCTTGTGTGAACAAATATCAGAATGTACAGCTGCAGTAATAGCCTGAACTAATTACTGGGCTGTAATTTTACAAACATTTCTGCAAATTCTGCAACTTATTTAGCAGGTAAGAGGACCTGGGGGTTTCACTGAGCCATCACTTTTCAACCTGGTTTCCTAAGGAAATATGGCTTATTGTATCACATTGTCTGTTTATGTACCCTTCACCTATTAACATGTTGACAAATTTCAACTAAAGCAAAATAGTGGCTTAAGATTTCAAGTATCCTTAAAGTTTCATGCCTACTGGTGGATAGACAGAACAGATTCTTTTTCACTTGCCCACTGACACCAAGTTGAAACACACTGTTTACTTTCCATTAAAGCAGATCTGCAAGGTCCTTTTTCAGACAGATAAAATGTAACCTATGAGAGTATGGAAATGAGATATGCAATCCATATTCACCTACTGCAACTTAAAAGAGCATGGAGAAAAATCCCAAATCATGCACCACAGAAGAGCATTCTTCAAACCTGGTACCACTGCATAACTGAAAGAGGAAGCTACGCTAAAGGTTCATTTGCTATTAAAATACTCTCTTAAGATAATTCCTTTCAATCATACACTCTGGAGCCTTCAAGGACATAATGGCTCAAAGGCTGAGTTGTAAGCTAGTATTCAAACAGATCACCTCACTGCTTCTGGAAAACAGATACTACTGGGATGAAGCAAATACCACATTAAAATACAATTGTTCCCTAAACAAAACTTCTTTTGTTTAAAACTGAGAGAATGTGAACAGGTGAATGCTGTTATTCAGCTTGTGAATATCAGAGAGACAAGGTAAGCACACAGGGGACTGCAAGCGTGTCACTGGGAATTTAGCAGGTGCACTAAGGCAGGGCAGATACTTGTGGAGCACAATGACACATGCAGTCTCGCTGTACGGAAAGACAATGACTTAGATTGGTAGATACTACTGACTATACTGCATTGACCAAAAAAAAATAATCTTCAAGGGGAAAGAAAAAGAAAAAAACAAAAGCAAAAGAAAAAACCCCATATCCTCAAATCAGATGAGGTGAGCGGCCCCCAAATGTAGCAAGCCTGATTCCGAGCCCAGATAAACTAACACAATGTCATTGAAACAGCAATTCCTCCAGAGACAAGCTGAGGTCTTCCTGAGGGTGATATCTGAACAAAAACAGTTGAGAAAGGAAAGAAGAAAATACAAGGGGAAAAAGATAAATCCTTTTAACAGGATTGGGCCTTTTCAGGAAAAGAATCAATAAAGAAAAGCCTCATCACAAGCAGGATCAAAGCAGATCACAGATCAAAGCTACTCTGAAAGTCCTGCCCAAAATAATAAGGAAACACCAGGACAAATAACTGTTTCAGACAAAGACAACACAACTCTTCACCTTCCCAGGTGAAGACTCCTGCATGTTATACCCAATCTGTTTCTCTGGGGAGTGTACACATTATCTTGCTCATTTCTTCTGTGAGTCTTGGTTATGTTAATCAGCAAGCTAAGTACATATTTTACTGGAGTCTATACTACTCCAATTTTAGTTGGCGTAAAAAGAACAGAGCTCTCTCAACTGATGATACTCAAAGGAAAAACACCCCAGTGTTTAATGCCTTTGTTGTATCAGTCTTCAGTGAAAAGATGGAGAGTGAGCAGACGGCTAGGACATTTAGCCCAAATGAGTGAGTAGTTCAAGTTCAGCCTGTTATAGGTAAAGAACAGGTTACAGAGTACTTAGGCAGTCTGAATACTTTCAATTAAACTGGGCCTAACTGACTCGTTCTAGGATACTTCCAAAATTAGCTAAAGCTATCACAAAGCTGCAAGCCTGTCTCAGACCTCTGAGTAGCTTTTGAGAGTCTGCAGAAATGTTTAAGAACATTTTAGACACAGGTTGCTACAGAACAACATTTACAATGTCTCCTTGAGACAGTAAAACAGAGCAGGTGTCATCCTAATGTCCCTTCCAGATCTTATTTTCTAAAAAACTGCAGTTACCAGCATGCATTTCAATCATTCAGCTCCAGATACTCATCCTTCTTCCCTGCTGTGTCCCAACACACACATACTCCTTAGCAGGCTACAAAAGCACCAGTACTGGACCCGAGGCCCTAAGTTGTCTCTGCTGTCTCTCCAGCTACTTTCCTTGTTTGTAGCCATCCTGCTGCAGCTGCAGCTGCCCATTTAAAAGGGCACGGCTTATGCTGCTGCTCTCTGGCCTGTCTGAGCAACCACAGTGAGCCCAGATGTATGGTAGGTAACAAACAGGAATGTACAACCTTCCCTTCTCATGAATAACAAGTCAGCAAGAGAACCCCAGACTGATCCCCTGTCTCCTTGGCTTCATACCAGTTCTGGAAAACATAAAAACATTTTTTTCCCCCCATATAATAGTTGCTTGCTTTCTAGCTTACACATCAGAACTCAAAAAGAACAGGGCTGTTGTCTAAATGGGCTCTCAAAGTTGAGCTGATCTTCACAGTATTACTAGAAACCACTTCTTTTACTCATTTTCATAGAATTTCCCCCTCCAGCTACACCTTTTTCATGCATA